ATTAAAATAAATATTAAATATATTTTATATTTTTTGAGATATTAAAAAATTAAAAAACTACACTATAAAACCAAGTCTTAGTTATCAAAAAAAATTTAATAGAGACGGGAGGATAAAAACTCATTTTATTTTTTTAATTGAAAATTTTTAATTGTTAAATATTAATTTTGGTCCCTCAACTTTAATGTTTTTTACAATTTTCATCCTCAACTTTTTTATACACTTTTTTTGTTTTTTAATTATAAAAAATGTATTTTTTTATCCTTTTGTCAGTTAATCTGTTAAATATATCAGAATTTACACATTTTTAATCCTCAATTTCTAATATATACATATTTTTTGTCCCTCAACTTTAAAATATGCATATTTAGACAAATTTAATAGACTAACTGATAGGAAAAAAAATACATTTTTATCTTCAAGGGACCATAAAAGTGTATAAAAAATTTAAGAAATAAAAATTATATAAAATTTTAAAGTTAAGAGACTAAATTTGACATTTATCCTTCTTTAATTTATCCTAAGCATACCTAAAATCTCAGTCCACCAAACCATTGGGTACATTTTCTCCCTTTTATCTTCCGTTCTACTTGTTTATTTTTGGCAAAACCTTACATATAGTCCCTAAACTTATCTCAAATTCATGAGAAAGCTTATAAAATTTTATTGAAACAATAAGTCCTTAAATTTGACTATTTAAATAATTTAACCCTTTTTACATGCATTTATACCTTGTGTAGGTAAAATCAATACTTACCAGTGGTCAATGATATATCACTACTTTGTCAATGTAAATAAAGTATAAATGACGTTAAATTTATTATAAAAAAATAATTAAATTATTTCATATTACTAAGTTTAAAATTTACTTATTTTAATAAAAATTTAAAACTTAATATAGAATTTTTTCTTTATTTTCCCGCTTCAGCTGGCCATGCTATTGAAGGTTGAAACTACAAGCTTGTAATAATATCATTTTCGAATAGAATAAGGTAATTCTACATGTTTTTTTTAAGTAAAAACCCAAAACTCAGAGCCACAATGCACAAATGACCAGAGCCAAGAGCCTGAGCTCTCTCTTCCGAGCCGCCACCAAAGGTGCCGGTGGCGGCGGCGACTTACCACTCGTGGACTTTATTTCCTCTCTCAACGCCGCAGCTCCTCCGTCCTCCACCTCCACAAAACGTTCATTGAAGCCCCCCAAACCCGCCAAGAAACGCCTTGGCGATGTCGAACCCTTCAACTTGTTATTGGACCCATCTTCACCGCCCGGTATGCTTCAATTATTTCTTACATCGCTAAATTCCAATCCTTTTTCTTTGGAAATGTTCTTTTTGCAGTTGATTGAGTTTTTCTTTCGAACGTTTGGGTTTGCAGAGGTTTCCTCAACCCAATTAAGGCAGCAGATAACTTCCATACTCGATGGTATGTGTTTATAAATAAAAAAAAAATTGTAGTATTTGAACCAAAATGGTATCTTTTTTACCATCTAGAATTTTGGGTTAGTTAATTAATTGCGCGTTGTTCTTGCTCTCTTCTTGTTCAGATAGAACATCATCAGATGTTTCACCTGAATCAGAAGGGACCAGCAATGATAATTATTCTGGATCATTGGATATACAGTGGCTTTCAGAGCTGATGTCTAACGCTAATGTACCAATAAAGCGGAAGGAAACTTCCCGTGGAAAGAAACAGAAATGGGTTTTTAAGAATGGTCAGGTTCCTCAATCTAAACAGTTAATTAAATTGTGTGGAGAGAAACTGGGGACAGAAGCTACTCTTCAGTTCTTTGGCCAATTGGGAAGAGAAACTGGGGTGAAAGAGTACAATGCACTTATAGCCATGTGCATAGATAAGGCCAGGACAACTGATTGTGAAGAGGTTGCATTGGTGGAAATGTCCAAAGTTTACAGACATTTTAAGGAAATGAGGAAGCGCGGATTTCAGATAGATGAAGTAATTTATGGTCAATTGCTTATGTTTTTCATTGACAGGGGAATGGTAGAAGAGTTCCACTTTTTCTGTGGACCTATCAAAGATGGGAATTGTAATTCTATTCCAAGATTAGGTTATTATGAGATGCTGCTCTGGATATCAGTCAATAACGAAGAAATGATTAGGAAACTTTGTGATTACATTGCAGCTGATGATAATGAAGATAATCTTCAGTTAAAAGGTTTGATGCTAATTGATTATATAATTGTTTTATTATCTTTAGTTATTTCTTTTCAATTATGGTTTTTTTTGTTTTTTTGGTGGAAAATAATTCATGTTATGCAATCTAATAGTTATAGACACTGTTAACCTTTGCTGATGGCTTACAGATATCTTATTCATGGTGCAGAAAACTATTTGTTAGCACTTTGTGAAAGTCAACGAACAGATGACTATTTGCGAGTATTGGAGGTCATTGATATAACAAAAATTTCTGATAAGCATGCAGCAACTGTGTTTAAATCGCTGGGGAGGCTGTCATTGGAGTCCTTCACTGAGAAGTTCCTCTTGGCATTCAAAACCCTTGGTAGGATCACGATGTGTGCATTTTTATGATGTGGAGATTCCTATTTCTGTCTGGTGGAATTACTTGTGGCAACTGGCCACAGATTATTCTGAATAAAAATATCTATTTGGAAAAAATATATCTTTTCTTAAAAAGTTTCTGCAGATGATACTGTTTTAAAACATTTTATGAATTTGACTTGAGGATTTAGCAAGTAGGACGCATTTAGTTTAATGGTGATGTCCTGAGGGTTTCTGGTGCATGTGCAATTATCCTGTGCTTTTTAATTTTCTTACAAAAAGTATGCATAATCTTTTCAAGTGTAGGTTTGTAACTATAGTTCTTTGTTGGGACATCTAATGGTGTAAGATTATTAAGTTGACTAAATATGTTTTATGTCAGTTGGATGTTTGTAATATGTTTATCACACTAAATGGAGATGATGGAGAAGAGAAAATTTCGAGACTCATCTTTAGTTATGCTTCTTGCATTCCAAATATAGTGGTGAGGAATCTCTCATGATGCTGCTGGTAATTACCTTGAGTCCATGTTTTCATGGAGCACCTACATTCCACCATGTAGTTTTCAGTATCTTGATAATGTTTCTGATGTAATTTCTATAAATTTTTGGAAGTTGTCCATTTTGGTTGGCAACAAATTGGCGATTAAACCATAATTTGATTTGATTTTTTGAGTAGAATTAACAATGATACTAGTTCACTTAAGTGACAATTAGTGATCAGCAGAAATTTCTGGAAGATTTTAATTACATTTGGAGAATGAATTTTGCTTTTCCTTATTTTCTTCCTCTCTCCCTCTCTCTCTATTTTTATTCTTCCTTTTTATGGCTGGCTGTGATGGGAGGGGAGTGGGTACTAGGACATTCTTATTTATGCAATCATCTAAAGGCCTTTTTTATCCTTGGAGTTAAAATTATAGATCCTTGTCAATGTCAATGAGTTTTTCATGGTACTTCTTGAAAAGGTCTTGCTGGTGAGGAATTATGATTTTTGTTTAATTGCATATATAGTTTCCGCGAGAATGACCAATTCGAAGCACCTATGATAGATTTTAGTTCTTATCCTCTAAAGTGCTCTGTTTCCACATATATATACACACACACACATATATATATGACTTGAAAGATGTGAAATTTTGACATTGATGAGGCACTGGCCCCATGTAATTATTATGAATGTCTTGCAAGTGCTATGATGCATTGGTACATAAATGCTTGTAAGAGATTTGGATCTAGCTTAAAATGATAATTGCTTTAGATTGCAACAAGTTTGCTGCTTGTCTATAAGAGAGTGATTTTGTCTCTCATTTTTTT